AAAGATGGTCTCTTTACATCAAGAAGTGTATTGGAAGAACTCTGTTGTCCAAATTTCCCAATAGACTTCTATTGGCTAAACCCCCTGCCTTTAATCTTAAGTGAGTTTGTAATAATTTAGGAAAGAATGCCTCTGGGGAAGGTTTTAATTGATCTGTAGTGAACCACAGGATGCCACATTAAGAAGAGAATATTTGAGTTTCCACACTGCACTTCAAACATGAGAAAGAACAGGGATGTGTAGCTGGATTGGAACTGGAGAAGGGTGTTCATTTCTGCTCTGCTTCTCACACCAGAACACATTAGCATTTTTTTTTTTTTTTTTTTTTTTGGCCTCATATTTGTTTGGGTCCATGTACTACCTGGATGAGAGTACCAAATACATAATGGAGACACTAGGTAATGAACATAAGAACCTCTCAATCATTGGAAAGAGAGGTATCTTTAGAGTCACTAAAAAAGTGTTATATTTTAAAAATAACTATACAAGGAAGGTATTCGAAATTGACCCCAGCATCACCACTACCACAAGTACCCTCTATCCTCTTCACTGTTTTTTTTTTTTTTTTCTTATGAAGCACTTGTACTGGTTAACTACCAAGGTGTAACAAACAGCCCCCAAACTCAATCTCACACAATGACCATTTATAATTTTAGCTCGTGCATCCGGGGTCCACTGGAGGTCAGCAGATCTAGGCTGGGCACATTGGGTGGCTCTGCTTATGCTGGCTGGGCTCATATGTGCATCGGAGAGTCTCCTGGGGCACTGAGTGGGACTGAGGAAGCTTCGCTGAAGCAGCTCTGCTCCCTATCTCTTATCTCGTTGAACCCGCAGACCAGCCTGGGCATGTTCTCACGCAATGGCAAAACAGCAAGAAAGGCCTTGGAGTCATGAAAGCCTCTTGTTTCTCTAGAATAAATAGCCAGGAGCAGGCATGCTGTCATTTCTACCTCATTCTGTTGGTCAAAGCAGGTCACATCGCCAACCTCAAAGTCAAGGGAAAGGGGAAAAAGCCCCACTCACTGCAGAAAACATGACAAAGGGAATGGAGAGAGGGAGAATGAAGAGTTAGGGCCATTAATGCAATCAACCACAGCACTTGCCACCATCTAATTTACATATTTTGCTTGTGTTTGTTCTCTTGCTGCTGGAATGTAAACTCCCTATTGGTATGGACTTTAGAGGATATATTGCTATATCCCCAACACCCAGAACAGTAGCACATTATAGATGTTTAATAAATATATGGAATGAGTCAATTAGAAGGATTACATTAATTATTTTGGCTTATGCAGGAAACCAACACTCCTTAAGATGGCATGTAAGTTTGTGTTAGTTTATCCTAAATTGATTGTATAAATCTTTTATATTTTATTTTATTTTATTTTATTTTTTTAAACAGAGTCTCACTCTGTTGCCCAGGTTGGAGTGCAGTGGCACAGTCTTGGCTCACTGCAACCTCTGCCTGCCAGGTTCAAGCAATTCTCGTGTCTCAGCCTCCCAAGTAGCTGGGTCTATAGGCATGCACCACCATGCCTGGCTAGTTTTTATATTAAACGTTTTTAGTAGAGATGGGGTTTTACCATGTTGGCCAGGCTGGTCTCAAACTCCTGACCTCAAGTGATCTGCCTCCCTTGGCCTCCCAAAGTGCTGGGATTACAGGCATGAGCCACCATGCCTGGCTGATGGTATAAGTTTTCTGATTTAAAGATTATTACCCATATTTGTAGAAAGTGCTGGCTATTTAGAATAAACATTTCTTAAATGTAAAACAAGTCTATATTTCAAAATGGTTTAACATTTCCCTAGAACATATAAACAGGTACCGTAAAAAAGTAGATTGGTTTCATGGGCAGAAAATTAGAAGTAGGGAGAGGGGGAGTTTTACGCATATTTTGGCAGAAAATATATTGCTTCTTCCTATATGGAAATAATACCAATATAATTTCAAGCTTTCAGAATTTGAATCTGAAATATTCTCAAGACTTTTGGATTTGAGCTATTCCAAACAGGTGTGGGATACAGGATATTACTCACCCAAATAACTTTTTTTAGGGTTTTTGGATCCACAGAAGTTCACTTATTTCTGTCCTTTTTCTGTCCCACTTTACCTAATCCAGAAGACAGCTCAAAGGGGTTTTCTTTAGGTCATGCTTTCAAAGGGGATTCCTATGCAATGTATGTTTTTAAAAAATTTCCTTGGAATTTGAATTTGTGCTGCCATTTTTTGACTGTGACAGATGATGAGGTAGGAGATAAAGTAGGCGTTAATGCTCCGTTACGTAAAGGGGAGTTTTGTGTATGTCCATACTTAGCAACAGGCTAATTTGGGACTCCTACGAGACACCCAAGTCTTGAACGCTGGAGTATCTGAAGTTTCAACATGCCAAGTGACTAACTCCTCAGATGGGCATCTTTTACACCCGAAAGCAGGATTCCAGGTGGATGTATTATTTTGGATAAAAGGGGAACCTGGAAAGTTAGGGGCCTGGACACATCCTGAATTCTAGTTCTTTCTCTCCAGACTACTGAATAGAATCCCCACAAACCATGAGTGTTGCAAGTTATACATTTAAAAGGTTATAAACATTTCTCAGAAAGGTTTCATTTACCAATTTACGTGAACGTACTTGCCCTATTGTTATTAAGACCCCCAAAAGGGTTTAGCTAGTTTCTTTTAACTTTAGCCCTTTGGACTGGGAGTTTGGAGAGGGTCTTTGGTTCATTCATTCAGCAATTATTCATTGAGGACCTACCGCATGCACCGAGTGCAATTAGATGGAGTCCTTGGCCCTAAGACACTCACAGGTGCCTTAAGATTTACAAGTCAAGGGGCAATTTCAGCACAGGGGGATAAGAGCTAGATTGGAAAAAGGGTGCTGTGAAGGTTCAGAAGGAGAGGTGACTAGGGACATCACAGGACGCAAGGAAAGTAAACTAACATTGGTCGTCGTTTGATGCCTTCGGATTTGCAGAAGTCGTTTTATATTCCTTCTCCCCTCTCATCCTGACACTAGCCCTCCCTGCAGGCCAGGGCGAGGGTATCCTTCCTATGACCCTAATATTCCTGTGTCAGGCTGAAGTGTATACAATCTCAACATTGTACACTTTGTAAGGGATTTAACCTGCATTCACACCTGGGTCTGCTGGTAGAAAGGAGCCTGGTGGATCTTGGGCAGAGCAGCTCCTGGGCTCTGGAGCTGGTGTCAAGGAGATGCCTACCTGCAGTATCAGGATGAAGGTAGGTGGAGCCAGACAGGAGATGCTTGAGGCCTGGAAAGAAAAAGCCAATCAGGACAGAGGTCTAGGATTGGCTGCAAAATGTGTTCTCTGAACAACAAACAAACAACAATAAAAGGAGAGCAAAGGAGAAAGAGAAGAAAGACAATAGGGCCCACTGAAGAACAAAATATGTCAGTAAGGTCAATGTGCCAGTAAGGCCAAACTGAAAAGGCCAAACTGAAAAGTACAGGGAACGGCAAACAGGAGCAAATTATTCATCACGCCAATTCTCATCCGCAAATGGAGATACCTTTCTAACAGAGCAGGTGTGAGGATAAGAGGCAACAGAATTAAAGACTGTGCGGTAATGTCATCTCAGATGCTCAGGAACTGTGACAACTCCTAAATGTAGGTGTGGCTGTTTCACCACACACAATAGAAAGTAAAAAATACTTTTTTTTTTTTTTTTTTCCTGGATCAAATTCCAAGGTATGTGTACTCTTTGGGTCTTGGAAGTGAAATTTTGAATATGGAAGCATATCTCTTCTCAGTTATGTGTGGTCCCCTGGTCCCACAAGGTTATGTAAGGCCTACAAAGCAGGTACCTACAAAATTAGGATGACAGATTCAATTTCCAAAGTAAGTGATTTTACCATCTCCTGAGCATAGCAAGAGCTGCAGCTGAACTGAGACTCTGGTTCAGAGTTTGCTCTCGTGCACACCTCGTGGGGGTTGAACATCAATTGGAATGGGTGCCTTTGGTGATCATCAGCACTATTCACAAACGTTCTGATTCTCTCCTTCCAAGCATGTGGTAGGATTGTACTTTTTGTTCCCTTAAGGCTAAGCATGGGATATCCTTTGGCTGATGAAATGTGTTCATAAGTAATTTGTGTCACATGTAAGCAGCCTTTAGTTAGGAGCCTGGCCACAGAAGACATGAAGCATTTATTTTTTTAAGATGGAGTCTTGCTGTGTCACCCAGGCTGGAGGGCAGTGGCATGATCTCGGCTCACTGCAACCTCTGCCTCCTGGGTTCAAGCGATTCTCCTGCCTCAGCCTCCTGAGTAACTGGGATTACATGCGTGCATCCCCATGCCTGGCTAATTTTTGTTTTTGTTTTTGTTTTTTGAGGTGGAGTCTCGCTCTGTCGCCCAGGCTGGAGTGCAGTGGCACAATCTCGGCTTACTGCAATCTCCGCCTTCCAGGATCACGCCATTATCCTGCCTCAACCTCCCGAGTAGCTGGGACTACAGGTGCTTGCCATCACACCCGGCTAATTTTTTGTATTTTTTTAGTAGAGACGGAGTTTCACCGTGTTAGCCAGGATGGTCTCGATCTCCTGACCTCGTTATCCGTCTGCCTCGGCCTCCCAAAGTGCTAGGATTACAGGCGTGAGCCACCAGCGCCTGGCCATAATTTTTGTATTTTTAGTAGAGACAAGGTTTCATTATGTTGGCCAGACTGGTCTCGAACTCCTGACCTTAAGTGATGTGCCTGCCTCGGCCTCCCAAAGTGCTGGGATTACAGGAGTGAGCCACCACGCCCAGCCCCCCATGGAGCATTTAGAGATGGAGCCTCTGTCAGCTTGGCTTCCTGGATGACTCAGATGGGCAGACAGCCCCTCACACCTGCATCACACACATAGAAGACACAAGAAGTAAATCTTTTGCTTTGCTTCACTGCTATTATTTCCAGTTGTTTCTGCTGCATAACTTGGCCTATTTTGACTGATACATTTGATATTCTAGAGCTGGTTTTTTTTTTTTTTTTGGTGGGAGGAGTGCATCGTTTCTGGAAGTACTGCAACACCAGGTTGATGAGTCAGGTGAACGGAGCAAGCTCCTATTCCATCTCCTTGCTGCAGAAAATCCACTTAGTATATTGTACTCAGATAGAGGACATATCAGATATTAACTGTAGATATTCACTAAGATACTACACTTGATCTTAGCCAAAGGCCAAAAGGCCAAAAACAATGAGCCTTTTTTTTTTTTTTTCAATTTAAGGAGGAGAGAGTTTTTGTTAGTTTCTCTTGCTTCTTTTGTTGAGGAAATAGGAGGATAGAAGCGCTAAGAACAGTGGAAGGAGATCCATGTGCCTGTTCTCCATTTGGGCCCGCAGTCTAGTATGAAGTCCCAGTGGATAGCCAGCAGCGACAGCAGGAGCAGGCAAACACGGGTGGATTTGTTACAGAACATGCCTGAGACATCACTCTGGAGACTCCCAGAAATGACCAAGGGAGATTTGGGAAGAGTGGCTAAGTTCCTGGTGTTTCACTGGAGGTGCTAGGAGCTACTGCCATTTGGAATTAATATTACTGTGACCTTATGTGTTTATATAGGCTCGGGAGGTATGGGGACAGCAAGTCAGATAATAATTCAGCTGCTTTGGTTCATCGAGGCCTGGAGCCTGTCTGCGAATGTGTGACAATATACACCTATTGATCTTTCTGATTGACTGTTGGCCTTATGCTCTGTCATTTGTCCACGTAGACTTATCTGGCAGTATGGATCAGTGTGTATTTTCTTTAGCAGTTAAACTGAATGTATAAAGTATTAATTTTGTGAGGAAGAAAACCAAAATGTTTAATTAAAAAGCCAGTATAATTTCTAGACTTCATCATGGGACCGATTTTCCTTTTTTTAAAAAAAAAAAATAAAATAGTTTTCTTTTTGGGAGAGAGGTGTGAAGTGTTTTGCTAAACTGTATTTACCTTGTCTATAGTAATGACTTTAAGAAAGCCAACAAACTCTCCCAAGGTAGGTTTTATAAGGGGTGAAGGATGTTGGAAAGGAAGAAATAATAGAGAAACTGTTATGAAAGCAAAGATATCTGTGTGATTGCAAATGGTACAAAAAATAGAAACTTTTTTGTTATCATCAAACTTAATTTGAATTGCGTGAGGTTTTCATTTTAACACCCTGCCACAAAACCACAAATTCAGCTATGCTATCCAGGAAATGCTACTTACAGTTTACCCTCACCTTAGACTCTCTGACCCTTGAAGACACCTTAGAGGATTGGCTGCCCCTTTCTCTCTCCTCTAGTTTATCATCTTTGCCTCTTGTCTTTAGGCAGCAGCGCAGAATTTCCTGGTGACACCTGCTTGTGACCCCAGCTTTGAGAATCCATTAATTCTTCTCCATCTGCTTGGATCGATAGCTAAGGCAACCCTGGGCATCACAGTTTTGTGCACAGTAGAGCCATCCATTTTCCTCTTGAAAAATCATGTAAAAATTGGGAACAATGTCAACATGCAAAATAGAATTTCTTCTTTGGATAGTCAATGGCAAATTACTTTTGTTACTATTACATTTCTTTCAAATATTATAACTTAAAAATGTATAAAGCTCTTTCAAATGATGTAACTCATTTTTTTACCCCAAAATGGTAAAGTCCAATTGAATATTATTATTCCTCACTTTATTGACTAGGAAACAGTCTTGCTCAAGGTTACCAGTTGGTAACAGAAACGGAACTCACACTCGGAAAGTCACACTTTTTGGCCATCTTCCCCTTTCTTCATTTAAGGGTCATCATTAAATAATTAAAGGGTGACATTTTCTACAATATTTTAAAGCTTCAACACTGTTATTTTGCTTCTATACAAAGGAGTAAAGAAAAATTTTTCCACTTCGAGGTAAAGTACGATGGAGTGCTCCTCATGTGTGAACTGCTACATCTCTCTGACAACCAGCTGTCTTTCCCACATTGGCAAAGGAGGCCTGTGCCTCTCTGAACCACCTTCCAAATTCACCCAAAGATCTAGCTGCTGAAAAGAGCATATGTACAAGCAGATAGCTGTGATCTGACAACTTAGGATACAAATATTAATCAAAAGAAAAGTAAATAAATAGTTGCCTGTATGTTACTTCATCCAAACCCTACCTTACTAGTCCCAAAAATAACAGCAGTAAAATGAGCAGCAACCATTTCCTGAATGTTTACTCTAGAGCCAAGCCAAGCGGGACACTCAGCCCCATGTCCAGCCACTGTCATTTAATCCTCAGTATAAGCCTGCAATGTCAGTGCTATCCTGGCTTTATTTTACTGACGAGGCGCTGAGGCTTACAGAGCTTAGGTAACTTGTCCAGGTTTTACAGCAGGCAAGCAGCTGAGCGACATCTCCATTCACACCATTGACTTTATTCTTGTACAACAGGAAATCTCATTTCATAAAAGAAAAGTTTCCCACAAATAAAATCAAAATTCATCCAACCCAGAAACAAGCTGAAGAAGTTGAGAGGTCATCTAACAGAGTTCTGCTTTGCTCATTGGAAACTGACTTCAGTGGAGACTTGTTAACCTTGTCAATTTTCCTAGAAAATTAATTTGCTTTGCAGCAAAGTCTTAAGACTGTGTGTATTAAATGTTACAGCTAAGCTAGACCCTTCAGCTAGTCACAAACTCTTCAATTTAGAGGGGGAAAGCAGTACATTAAGAGAAAGCAATGGGAAACATTTTTCACGGAAAGAAAAGCGAGCCACATAATATGTGATTTTTTTCTAGCTTCAGGGTCTTGACCCTTTGGGGACGTTGAAAGGAATAAATGGATTGATTGAGGAAAGGGAAAAACAGCAACTTTAAAAAGCTTGTGGCAGATTAGATGGTGTTATGATGCCTGCTCCTGACTTCCTCCTGCCAAAATGAGATTCATTAAAGAAAACTCTTAAGTAAATTAAAACTCTGCTCGCCAATACCCTCCCCTCCAGATGTTAACAGCCAACTGTGGTTCGTTTGACGACATGGCTGTGGGTAATCAGTAGAAACATTTCTATTAAGAGGGATGATGAGAAGCACTGGGAAATATTTTATGTACTTTTAACCAAAAATGACCGAACAGCTGACTGATTGATGACTTCTGGTATCAGGAACCCGAGATGCTCTCACTGTGTGAGCAATTGCTCATGAGTTCAGTCTGGCCATTCCCGCACCAACAAGATGCTGTTATTCCCTGACTTATGTCTACGATGAAAAGGTGGCTTAGAGAGCAGCAGCAGGGAGGAGCCTTTGGCTCAGACAGTGTCAGGCCCCTTGGTGGATTGTGGCCATTTCTGGACTCATCACCAGGGTAGCGTATGTTCTGGGATACAGCAACAGTTCTTCCTGTGGGTATTTCAGTTTATGGAAAAACGGCAGAAAACAGAACTGCCTATGTCAAATTAGAATCAACTTCCTGTCCTGCTGCGTGTGTGTGTATCGATCCAGCTATCTATCTATCTATCTATCTATCTATCTATCTATCTATCTATCTATCTCTATCTGTTTACACATCTAACTATCTCTATAATGGAGATATATCTCCATTGGAACAGCAATCAAAGGACACATCTGGTCAGCAGGGTTATTAAATGACACAGTTACTTCCCGGTGTGGTGGGTGGGGGCTTGCACCTGGAAGAAGGCAGCGTAGGGTACACACCTGTTGTCATCTCTTTAATGCTGAAGGGAAATTTAGAGTGCCCCCTTCTGTCACCTAAATTTCAGAAAATAGGAATGTTGATGTGAGTCAAAGAAGTATTCATTTGCTTGAATGTTTTTTTTTTTGAAATGGAGTCTTGCTCTGTCGCCCAGACTTGAGTGCAATGGCGCAATCTCGGCTCACTGCAACCTCCACCTCCCGGGTTCAAGCAATTCTCCTGCCTCAGCCTCCTGAGTGGTTGGGATTACCGGTGCATGTCACCACGCCCGGCTAATTTTTATATTTTTAGTAGAGATGGGGTTTCACCATATTGGTCAGGCTGGTCTTGAACTCCTGACCTCGTGATCCACCCGCCTCGGCCTCCCAAAGTGCTGGGATTACAGGCATGAGCCACTGTGCTCAGCCTGTGCTTGAATCTTTTACCAGATTGTCAGCTCCTTAAAAACAGGGACTTATTAGTTATATTTGCAACCTGTCATTGGGTGCTTGGATCATAATAGGAGCATAATAGATATTGTAAACGAATCAATAAATGAATGAGTTTTGGCCTGATTTTGAAATGGAGGAGGTCACCTTTTTCACTTACTTTGAAATGCTGTAGTTAGACAGGGTTCAGGGGTGCTTCTTGCCAGAGAAGTGTCCTCCCCTAGAAGACCAGGTGTGTCCAGGGTGTGCACAAGAGGGGAGGAGGAGTGGATGGGCTGCTTTGCTCAGTCTGCTCTGGGTTTTAGGAGAGAAGGAACCCTCACGGAAGAAGGGGCTAATTTGTCCTGAAGCTTACCAGAGGCTGAAGCTCCAATACAGTGTTCTCAGCCATCACTGAACCTTAAATCTACTGGGAGTATTAAAAAAACAAACCAACCAACCAACCAGGATCCCACCCCAGGCTAATTCAATGAGAACCTGGGGCTGGTGATACTGAAGGGAATGAGGACTTTAAAACATCTCTAATATGCAGTCAGAATTGGGGGTTGTGGCTCCAGTTCAGTGGCTGTCAGCTCGTTGATATGTCAGAATAACATGTTAAAAATATGTATTAATAGATACTATCCCCCACATCCAGAGGTGGGCGTTAGGGCGTCCAGGTGGGGTTCGTACTTCCGTAATGACACATTCTGAAGACCATCAGGATTGAGACAACTCTTTGGCTTAGGATTTCACGTTTCAACGAGCAATCTAGGGTGCTTGTTAAGAACATAGATTCCTGGGTTTGTCCTAAATTTACTGAATCAGACTCCTGAAGAGAGGAACATGGGAACTGGTAGTTTTAAAAGTGCCATTCTCGTGATAAGGGAAACATTACTAGCTTGTGTTTCTTAAAGTGTGGCCCCCAGATCAGCAGCATTGGCAGCACCTGGGAATCAGAAACTTTGGGGTGGGACCCAGCAGTCAGCTATTGCACAAGCCCTGCAGGTGATTCTGATGCGCACTCCAGCGGGAGGACCACTGCTCTAGTTCTCTATTTTTCAAGGTATGGGCCCCAGACCAACAGCACTGGCACCACCTGGGAGCTTGTTAAAAATGCAGACTCCTGGCCCCACCCCAGACC